TTTTATTTTATTTTATTTCATCTTGTTTTATTTTTTTATTGTAAATCGCATTGAGACCATGTGCGCTATATGAGTACTCCATTCTTATTATTATTATCATTTTGACTCACCCCATCAACTGGACAGCTTCAAAAGGGCCGGACTATTAGCTTTTCAGAGATTGAGGGAAAAAACTCGGTTGAGTCGGCATTGCAGGACATTATGGGGCTGTTTTAGAGTAAGAAATGAAAAAATAGAAAATGTGCCCTTGTTAACTGTGTGCAGTTATAAAGCACGCAGGGGTTGGCAGAACATAAGAAAAGTTCAGCACTTCTCAAGTGTTCTGCCAATCTCCAAGTGCTTTATAACTACACACAGCATGGCAAGTAAGTTTTTTTATTGCTTTTATAAAATACAAATTACAATAACCATTTTTTGACACAGGTCCAGTTTAGTTGGAGCAGCAACAGCTGTGGCTTTCATTGGTATAGTCTGGTACTTGATTGTTGGCCGAAGAGCGCCTGGAGGGGGGCGTAAAGGAGGCATCATGGGAGCCAACCCCTTTGTAAGTGCCATTCATTAGTACAGCTTTCATTGTTTTTTGCATTTTTCATTTCTAATGTTGTATGTGTTAGTTCATCACAGAAGATCAAATTAGAGAATTTGACAGCCAAAGGGAATAAAGTGTGCTCAGCTAAACTGCATAATTCATTATTATAATTAATTTTGATTTTTCAATAGGCTACATCCAAGATGTGCCTCTCTTGTCAGGCACAAAGGTTTCAGTGTGAGGCTTCGTGCATAATGCTCAGTGATTCACGACAGGAGAAAAGAATAGATTTAATTTTATAACACATAGCCTCAGACTGAAACTTTTGTGTGTATATTAGCATATTATCTCAGAAGTGTTTTTTTTTGACATTATTGGGTTCCCAAGTAAATTATTGTATTCTAAAATAAATTCAAATATCGAACTCTATGGCACATTTGCAAAAATAAAGTTGATGGACTGTCAAAACAGAGCAAAATTAGGCTATCAACAATAAGCTTGAACTACTTTCCAGTGAAGGGTGACCAACCATTTTATGAACATGGAGTCATGCATGATTGTCACGTCCAGTTGAAATTTGAATTTAATTTTCTATTTTATTAATGGCAAATTGAAATGACCAAAAGTCCAATAATGACCTGAACAATGCAGTCTTGGTTACGAGGCATGCTTTATTGCCTTTGAATGTGAAGTTCAAGAATTTAGCCATACCCCTCTCAAGGAGGAATGTTTTTGAAACCCCCACCTCTAGAAATTCCAATTTTCTTCTATACCACCTCTGTAATGACCCCCCTACCCTTCGGAAATTCCAAATTCCTCAGTTGGATGAATTCTGGAAAGTTCTACAATATAATAAAGTATCAAAATACCCTAACTCTCGCCTAATATCATTCAATCTTATCCAAGAAGAGGAAAGTGGAGTGAATTGTGGGTGTGGGGGAAAGTATTGTGCTTTTCCTCATTCCTTTTTCATGATTTGACAATTTTTTAGATATTCTCTACATCTTTACATGTTGTCTAAATCCTAACCTTGGCACCAAGACCATTAATAATATCAACATCAGGAATACTAAAAAATTGATTGGCTCAAGCAGTGACCTAATTCCTGCTGCAAATACAAATCATTTTAAAAATAGTTTTACTAATAGATTGATTAGTTTAAGATTTTAGCTTATTCTTGTAATAAAACTGCTTCTCATTAATCCCATATAGGTAACTGTCCAATCATTTTCTTAATTGGACAGGTCTTGCTGATATTGGATTAATTAGGCAGCTATATAATTAATAGGTAATGGGATTTCATGCTCCCCAATCAAGAAATAATTAGACTCGAAAAATTCGGCCTACGGCCTCATCCAATTTTGGAAGTCCTCAGAATTTTCCTTGTCCAATTATTTCTTAATTGGACAGCATGGAGTCCTATTACATATGCTAATTAAGTGAAGAAAGAGAATTAGCAGTGTAGGTGAAGATTGGTGATGATACTGTAAAAGGTCTGAAACTCATTCCTTCCCATGATTCCAAAGCCCAGACAGCAATAACAAGACATTTATTGTTGTAGTCGCATAAGCATATACTACCAGCCCCTGCATAGTGCAGGCCTCTGCTACCCACCACAACACCAAGCCATGTGTCTGTGGTGTCTGTAGTGAGTGTGTGCTGGTAAGGAGCACAAGACGCAGTCATAATAGTCTGTGCTTTATGCTGCTTATTATAACATGGGAGTGATTGGGTACAACCATGACTTTAAAGCTGATATCTGAAATCTTCTTTGAGGCCGTAGATATTCATTCATACAGTTGTATGTGAACCTTGTTTTAGATTGGAAGGGGATAGATATTAATGGTTTTATTTCCAATGTTGTCTTTCAGTCCAGCTACATCAAGGCCAAAGCAACGGTCATAATGCCAGGAAAAAGCCAGGGAGTCACGTAAGTACATTTTTGCTTTTGCTGTGATATCTTGGTGGTGGTTGACTGGTAAGTTTTAACTCTTCAATAACCACACACACAAATTTTCTATCATTTTGTAACTATATTTATGTAAAACTCTATATCTTATTAATAAGTTATTAAGTTCTTTTTGTAAATTAATACTATCATTGTCAAGTGTGTGAATAAATAATGTCTCAAAGATTAACTGTAATTACTGATTGCAATTTAATCTCATATACATTTCCTCCCTCTACCCTACTATGCTACCCATAACTCCCTTAAGCRTATTAAATTTAAAAGGTTTAAAAGTTTCTAGATATATATGAATAACCAACCTTCCCCAACATATAGTTAAAATGTGAAACACCTTCCTGCTACCCACACTGTAAGTCTAAATCTTATAAAAGTCTCTGAGCAATATATATATAACCGACCTCCCCCTTCTTGTCTCCTCTCATTTGTATCTAAAATTTCTTAGGATGAAGTGCACTGGTAATAATTATAATTGACCTCCACCCTGGCATCAAACAATCCTCTGACAACCCCCACCACCCCTCCCCCCCACATGTGATGAATAATTACTGGATCCTAATAAAATCTAGGTTTAAAGATGTTGCTGGAATGGAAGAGGCAAAGAAAGAAGTCATGGAATTTGTGGATTACTTGAAGTCTGCTACAAGATACAGTCGTCTTGGAGCCAAGATACCAAAGGTGTGATTTTACCAACATCATTAAATATGAATTCAGAACCATGTCCCAAACGTTAAAATAATACACCAGTTTCACATTTGACTGGGTTTTTTTTAAGACAACAGACTTATTTGTACAGGTTTAGCCTTGTATATAAGCTGACAGTGTTTTGCAGAATGATATTATAAGATTAAAAGTCTGTGGAATTTTATAACATATTTGTCAATATATAATTATTCAATTGCACATCCTTTACGTTACAGTTGATTTTTGTAAATGTTTTAAGTTAAGAAAGAAAGAAAAAAAGAAAAAAATCTWAAAAAAATCTACAAAGCTTTTGCTGTTGTATCACAGCGTGGGACAATCACAGCAGAGCTAGGCTCCAAACTAAGTGAAAGCCCAAAGATCGAATTAGCATTTAGAAGTTGATTTTTGAGGAGGGAGGAAAACYGGAGAACCCGGAGAAAAACCCTTGAAGTACAGGAGAGAACAAACAAACAACTCTACTCACATACGACATTGAGATCTGCAGGACTCGAACTCGGGCCTCATTGGTGAGAGGTGGCGCATTAGCAGCGCATGCTACCAGTGCTTCCCTATAGGGTTTAACAGTGACATTTCCACAGAGTGGCTCTTCATCCACTGAATTCCAGTTTGAATTTAGAAGTTGATTATTGTGAAGGAAGGAAAACCAGAAAATCTGGCTCCCAGAAAAACCCTCAAAGCACAGGAAAGAACCAACAAACAACTACTGTGCTCACATACGACACCAAGCCCCACAGAACTTGAACCAGGATCCCATTGATGAGCACATTTATTTATTTTATCCCATTATCAGCACATTTGCTCTTAAATGAGGCTCAATCTGTCTAAATGAGTCTGTAGTCATAAAACACAGTCAATGGTATTTACTCGCACAGGAAAAAAACGGAATCCCAAATTGGGAATTTGTTGGGAATTTCCTTGAATTCCCAATGAATTCCGATCCAATTCCCAGAGAGAACGAAATTGGGAACGTGGCACTGATTCCCAATGTTAGTTTGTTAGTTTTTCTATTGGGTATTAGAAGGAAATTCCCAACAAATCCCAACGTTGGTGTTCGAATTGGGAATTCAAGGAAATTCCCAGCAATTCCCAATTTGGGAATCCGGTTTTTTATGAGAAAAGGGCCTTTTGAACCTTGTACTTATTTACTCCAACTATGCTTTACTTTATATACTTTGTGTCTGTCCTCAGCCTCTGCTAAGCCATTAAAAAAATGTTTTCCATTAATAAGATATATGTTTGACTAAATAGGGTGCACTTCTAGTTGGTCCTCCTGGTACCGGAAAGACTCTCTTAGCCAAAGCTGTCGCTTCAGAAGCTGAGGTACCCTTCCTTTCCATGGCGGGCTCAGACTTCGTAGAAATGTTTGCAGGTGTTGGTTCTGCTAGAGTCAGAGATTTGTTTGCAAGAGCCAGGAAACTATCACCGTGTATTGTCTATATCGATGAAGTGGATGCTATTGGAAGATCTAGAAAATCTAGGTGAAGATTTTAATTCRTATAATTTTAGTAAGACTTTAATATAGAGTTTTGCACGCTGTGATTGGTCGAGCGACTAGTGATTCTGAATTGATGATCACTGCTCAAGTAGTGATTATGAGGTTTCCCAAAGTTTGCCTGAGCGCAAGTAATACTTTTTTAATCCTGAATTTCATCTTTTCTCTGATATTCAAGTCTAAAATAATTATAATAAAACAGTTATTCCCCTCAGGCTCAGTGATTATGGTGAATATTCACCTTGCTGCTCAAAGACTCGCAGCTCGGTCTGTGACTATTTTTAATACACATTAAACATGTTTGGCATAAATTCAGTATTTGTTCCACCGGCGCTTAAACCCATCACCTTCCATACAAAAATCTGATGCTCAACCAACTGAGCCAACYGGTTGGCAAAAAAGCACTTGGGAATTGACAACAAATGATGGATTTCCATTTGGTAATAAGACAACTTTTATTTGTCTAGTCGTTCTAGCGCTTTTGCACTAATTGGGGACACTTACATTTAATATTCTATGCACACAACGCTCAACTCACATGTGGATTTTTATTTTTATAACATTGCCATTTGTCTTTCAGTCAGGCGATGGGTGGTCACAATGAACAAGAAAATACTCTAAACCAACTTTTAGTGGAAATGGATGGTAAGTGAAGGGTTGCATTTTAACCAACTAAAACACACTTGCTCCTTAAAACAAGTGTGTGAGGTCAATGAGGATTAAACTATGGACCTCTTGCTTAGCAGACAGCACACTAAACAACCAAGCCACTTTTGCTCCTTAAAACAAGTGTGTGAGGTCAATGAGGATTAAACTATGGACCTCTTGCTTAGCAGGCAGCACACTAACCAACCAAGACACTTTTGCTCCTTAAAACAAGTGTGTGAGGTCACTGAGGATCAAACTATGGACCTCTTGCTTAGCAGGCAGCACACTAACCAACCAAGCCACTTTTGCTCCTTAAAACAAGTGTGTGAGGTCACTGAGGATCAAACTATGGACCTCATACTTAGCAGGCAGCACACTAACCAACCAAGCCACACTTGCTCCTTAAAACAAGTGTGTGAGGTCACTGAGGATTAAACTATGGACCTCTTGCTTAGCAAGCAGCACACTAACCAAACTTGCCTCTCATGAACATGACCAACTAATCCCATTTATACATTGTTGTTTGAAGGAATAAATACCGTAGAAGGCGTAGTTATGTTGGCCTCGACAAACAGGGCAGACATATTGGACCAGGCTTTACTGCGTCCAGGTCGCTTTGATCGCTACATTGCTATTGACCTACCAACCTTGCCTGAAAGAATATCCATATTTGAAGTTCACCTGAAAAAGTTGACTCTAAGGAATTCGTTTAAGAGTTATTCCAGACGGCTGGCTGAGCTGACTCCTGGATATAGTGGTGAGTGGAAGAAAGTTACAGTTTTGAACCTCCGTGCTGCTTCCATTATTGTTTTTGCTGTTGTTCTTGTCATTTCTTCTTCTGCTGTCGTTGTTGTCCTACAAGTGTGTTGGTGCTGGTGTTGTCATTGTGGTCGCTTTTATTGTTGTTGCTGCTGCTAATTTTTGTTGTTGTATATGATGACAACAGTGATGATGGCGTTGTTGTAGTTGACGTTCAGTGTTGTTACTGACGTTTTTACTGTAGTTGTTGCTGCTGTTGTTGTTGCTACTGTTGTTTTTGCTGCTGTAGTTGTTGCTACTGTTGTTGTTGTTGCTGTTATTACTGCTGCTGTAGTTGTTGCTGCGGTATAGTTGTTGCTGCTGTATAGTTGTTGCAGCTGTAGTTGTTGCTGCTGTAGTTGTTGCTGCTGT